TGCTTCGTCCATGGTAGGGTGAATTATACATGCTCTATGCATTAATGAAATTACTTGTTATCGCTTTCTTTCTTAAATGATTGAGAGTAAATTATTTAATAAGCTCAATAATAAAATGATAGAGATATGCATATTTCAATTTCAGATTTGCATTTATATTAGGAACAAATACCTCTAACATTTTTCTTTGTTCTTCATTCAAACTATCATACGATATATGTGAAATATATGATTTAGTAGCAAATGTCACGTCCTGCTACAATTGCGTAAATAAACTTTTTAAATTAATTTTTTAACTTTATTCTGTAGGCATCGAAATTGTATAGTATTTATTTTTTCTTGGTAACTATAGCTTATCTGCTATTATAAAAATTTTAATGCGTATGTAGCGGCAAAACTATTAAATACAAGGCTTGAGGTCTATGCACTTCACGTGGCCTAAATTGAAAATATTCAACACTGAATCTAGTTTGGTCAACATTATTTAAAAATATATTTCAGTCCTTATATAGTTTTTTAAGAAAAATACAATAATCTAAAAAAGACGCCTCAAGAGATCTTCTATCGCTTAAATTGAAATAGAATATTTTAAATAAAAATTTTAATATAAATACGTGTGCGCGCGCGCGCGCGTGTGTTTTAATGTACACAGTCATTATGAATTATTTTTAGAAAATTATTAATAAACTTTGACTGTATTATTAGACTATAATAGTACTGTAGCGATAGAATAATTAAATTTAATAATTCTAATTTTTGTATAAGATCATAATTATTTATATTTAAGGTAATAAAATGAAAATAATTTGTTGTAGCTTGTGTAAGATTATTAGTCAATTTTTCGTGGCGACACGCAAAAGTCAAGCAGAAAGGAGGACACGAAGAAAAGTATCAAATTCAAACAAATATTTATCCCATAAAAATAAATAATTTTTTTTTTGAAACAATTGCAAGAGGATTGCGTGGAAAAGCTAAGTGGAAGAAGTAAAAAAGTTAAATAATAAAATTAATCGATCTTAAGTACGATTATTATTATATATACTTTAGTCGGAGCAAACAATTAAAAACCCATAAACATAAATGAAATTATTGAACAATTTCGGACACGTTACATAACATAATTTAATAAATTACGCCTTATTAAGGAATTAAAAGGAATTTTTTTTAATTACATAACTCGACAGGTTAAACAGCGTCACTGAGATTATGCATTAGTCCACACCTTAACCGGATTATTCCATTAAATAATGATGACAAGGGTTGCTGTTACTCGTAAAAGCTTCGAAAGCATTTGCGGTACAAAGCAATACACGCGCAGTATTACCTGTCTTATGCCACTTCGAAACGCAATCAGTCCCTGTTTCGCACGACTCTATAATACGACTGAACTCGCTATAAAGAATATATAATGATTTGATATAGAGCATGGCGACTTGAAAACTTTGCCGTCCAATAATCAAATGTCGGTGATAGCATGGGGCTAGGGTCACTGGATCGCCGTGTTTGTAATACGGCTTTCGGTCGTCCTCTTCTATCTCGTTGAGCAGCGGTAGTATCGGTGAGGGGTCGATTGGTTAAATAAAAGGGTAAGTGGGATCGAATAAGATGGCCGGTCGGAGGACCGACCACAAGCCATGTTTTACATGTTCGTGCTTTTCATAACTTTATACTGATGCAAAACACTATGACACTATGAATCGCGTTCACGGCAGTCACATCACCAAGTAAAATACTATTTACATTGTGAGTTTTCATACTACTGCGTATTACACTTCTATTATAATACTTTCTTTTCTTTTTTTTTTTACGAAATTCCCGAGTGACTAGATACTGCGTCAGTGTGTGCGAATAGGTAATCTTCAATTATGGTTATTAGAGGCTTCATTAAACTCTATGAAGAAGAAAATGGAAAACATATAATATTTATCATAAGCATAATAATAAGCGTACGATTATTTATTTAGAACTTTCTGTTTTTATTAAATTACCTTTTTTTTTTTTTATTTTCTTATCAATAATTTTCTCTATCAATCTCCTCATTTTAATATATTTATTTTTTTCTATTTTATTACCATTTCTAATATCGATTTTACGCTGACAAATTACACAATATCGCATAAGAGCAGCAAACTAACTGCTTAAACAAAATAAAATAAAATTGCTACTACTGCTTTTATGCAACTTTTATCTCCCTTTTCTTTCTTTCTCCCTCACACTTAATTATCATATGACTAGCTTAAGCTTCAATGTTCATTTACATAGTATGAATGACTATACTGAACTTTTAACACTGGTATATCAAATAAAATTTTGATAACGAACGCTATTTGTTTTACATGAGAGATTTAGCATCGTCTAGAGCACTTTTAAATTTTAATATGTTTAAACGAATTTAACTATTTTTAATGAAATTAAATAAATTTCTTCAATTTTTGAGTAATCGAGTAAACGCCAATTTAATTATTAATATAATATATTGCAGATTAATATGTACGGAAAAATGTGAGTTGAAAAATGATAAATAAATATTATCAGTGTCGAATTTCATATTTACTTAAATAGAAATTTGTATTGCCGAAAATAGAAAAAATATCTACGAATTATTTTTAATATTCTGAATTTCATATACACGTTGTTAAATTTTTTTAAGTTATACATGCTTTATAAATGGGACATATGTCATTTAACATTGTTAATGTTGCAGATTTTAAAAATTTATTTCGACAGATAATCATTTGAATTTTTAGAACTCGTTGTTACACTAGTATTTATCAAATGTGATATTTAAATAGAATATGCAGTAATGCGAACTTTAAAAGGGTAAACTTAACTTTTTAATTATAAATAATATTTATATATAAATAATAAAAATGTATTAATATATATTATTTTTACCAAATTTCACTAAAAAATCTCTTAGGATATTAATACTGACAAATTATAACTGATTATCGATTAAGGATGCTTTTAAAAATTTAAATACTAATTTAATTAGTTTGCTTTGAAGAAATTCAAAATGACAATATTAATCATGATATTCTAAAATATTTCTGTACCAATAACAATTTTTTAATTAAATTATAAAACAGCACTTTTATATTAATTTTAATCAAATAATCACATTATAAATAATAAAATATTTCAGTTATGTAATTTTCGATGCTTCTGTTTACTATTATGCATTAAAAAACGCTAATAATCTTTTACTATATTATTATTATTATATATATATATATATATATATACATATATATACATATATATACGTACATCCATATATATATCCAATAAACTGTGAATATATCTTATTAATTTCTCTATCAAACAATAATAAAAATACAACTGTAATACTACATCATATTTTTACAAATCCTATACATAAAAGATTTATTTCCTAATTACTATTAGAATAATACGTCTATTAAAATTATAGTATGTTTTTATAAATATTTAAAAATATCATATGCATTATAAAATTTAATTGTTTAGTAATAAACATGAATTATAATTTATTGGCTCGATTAATTGTGTAATTATTAATTGAATCTCGAGGGTCTAGTATTATTAAAAACTAACTTATGCAGAATGCCAACTATGAATATTTGCTCACGATTTCTTATTTTCTTTTGTGTTCGTATTACTCTGTCGGTAATGCAGGTAAAGCTATACTTCTTAGTAGTAAAAACATTTAAACAGCCTACTTTTTGAAGTACCTATTGTACGTGTGTACTCTGAGAGAATAAAACGACACCCTCGGACTTAATCTACAATATCACGAAAAATAGTAAGCGAGAGAATGAATAATAATAAGGATCGAAAGTTATGTATATTTTTCACATACATGTTTATATAGATGTGCATATTAAAGGTCAATGGATCTGAAGATGGATGAATGATAATAGACAAAAAAGGGAATCAGAAGTCTAGTATGTAGTTTAGCTTTCAGCAGCCCCTATTAAAATTGCACCCGTTAATTTAGCATCGTCCCTTTGGGATGTTGATGAAGCTAACTCGCGTCTACACTTAATGTGCACATATGTATGGATCTGGCGCCTAGAGTACCTATGGTTCGAAAAGTATACATGCGCACAGAGATACTTTGTTACCTTAAGTAACGCACATCTTCTTAACCTTTTATCTTCTATACTTATACAAAACTTTGTTTGTCTTCATTTCCGTCTAAAGGCTCATGGGAATATAAAGCTTCTAGTCACTTTTGTATTTCGAGGTGTAGAAGAGAACGAGAGAAGACAAACACCTTATATAAGAGACATTCTAAAACTTTCTATTCATTTTTATATTTATATTTTTTTCTGATAATCTTAATATTTTATGAATAAATTTTATATATTCAGAATATTTCCATTTATACTTCATGAAACAGCATTTTTATCATATTGTAAAATTTATATGAGTAAAACAAGGATGAAGTAGATTAATTATATTTTGTATTGTAAATTGTCAAATAAATTTTAGAAAAATTGTTTTTTTTTTTTTTTTTTTTTTTTTTTTTTTTTTTTATTATAATAAAACGCCCTACAATTGCCATTTGACGAAGCAAAATAATTTTTATATAAATTTATAAAATAGTAATATATGTATTTCTACTTAATACTACATAATATATTGTACAATGTACAACAACAATTACCAATTTAAAGAAATAAAAAATCTTGTGATTCTATCGTTTGTACTCATCAATACATGTAATAAATTGCTTGTAATTATAATTAATAGCTTATATCTACATAGATATGCATGTCCTATGTAAGGTAATACGTTTGATAATGATATCTTAGAGTGATATCTCATAGTTTACGCTTATCGAAGATGACCTACTCATTACATTTTATCAAAAATTAATGTCAAATTACAAAAATGAACGTATAATAATATCGACAACATATATTGATTTCTATCTTTTTGACTCACTAAATATAATACAATCGTATTTGCAAATGACTGATTATAATTTGCAACTCTGCGCTTTTCTATTTCAGAACATTACCACATATTCGTCGGGGATCTGAGTCCAGAGATTGAGACACAGACCCTGAGGGAAGCTTTTGCCCCTTTTGGAGAAATTTCGTAAGTTCTATTTTTTCTCAAAGCTCGCATATTAACATTAATATCTTCTTTTTTTTCTTGTTTTTTTTTTTTAAATATGAAATTAATGTTTTTAATAGTGCACTACTAATACAGTCAACCCTAAATTATTTCAATTCGAAATTATTATTTTCTTTACAATTACAATTACAATTTATAAATACAGTTACGTAAATCATTATACATAAAATTTGACAAAGTTTACTTTCATAGAACATTATTTTGCAAAAATTATTATTTGAAATTATTATTTGAAGTTATTCTGAATAATATTAATCTTTCTTAAGAAACTGCTTATTTTACAAAACATTTTAAGCAAAATTTTGTCTTATAACTTAAACGATTGGATGAAAATCATGTATGACATGAACCAAATCTAACAACGAATCATAATAGAATTATCGAAAAAATAAAATTTAACCAATAGGAATATATTAATCTAATAGTGACTAATAGTGACTAATATTTTCATTGGACAATCTTAGCATTGGTGAAATAAATTTTAAACTATTAACCAAGTTAATCTGAAAGGATTTTTACAATATTCAACCCATTAGTTTCCTATCAAACATATTTTTTAAGTATCTCTATGTGAACAAATCAATTTTTAGTTTACTATTTATCACACGATCATTAGAACCAATTGATTCTATTATACTTTGCTAACATATCAGAGATCCTTCCGGCTCTCGTAAGAGTATATAGTATTATACTTCAACTTCTCCAGGGTCAATGAAATAACTATACTATGGAAGCTGATGAGACTGGTTATGAGTGAGACCTTGAACAACATCAGTAGAATGTTTTCCGCGATAGATCTTATCCACGTTAAAATTCACTGACAAAGAGATCCTAGGTCATAGGTCACCTGAGATGGATAACTCTGCTTCTAGCATCGCATAATCGCGATGTCGTAACCTCATCCAATTTTGGAGTGGTTAATGAACCAGAGCTTTTCTTGCTTGGTCAGCTCATGTGTTTTATTAACCTGCTACTTTCATTGTTGGCTTACAATCTTCTTCAGATCGATATATTACAACTGAATAAATTACACTCATTATTAATGAATATTTAATGAAATATAAACACGTTGTGATCATTAAATAATTTTAATTAATTTAATTTTAAGGAAATTAGGTGGTGAAGTTTTTTAATTTAAATAAGGAAAATATTCGTGCTTCATTAATTAAAACAATTAAATCACAACTTAGAATATGAGACGAATATGAAAATTTTGTTATTAAGAGAAAGACTTCAAATTTAGTTTAGTTATATGGACATATAGATATTCCATTATATGATTTTTTAAATATTAACTGTAAATACCACACGTATTTTTATTCGTTCTCTCTCTCTCTCTCTCTCTCTCTCTCTCTCTCTCTCGGTCTCTCACGCTCTCAATGGTCTCATTTTCTTTACCTTCTCATTTCTTTTTCCACTGATTCTTCTGATCCTTCTACTTACTATAAATATACTTTTCATTTCCCCTATCTTTTTGTTGTCGGCTTAGTGTTATATATCTTATTACATTTAATCTGAAGATTTCTATATGCAAGAAACTTTTTTTGATTCACGACTTAATCGATTGGCTATTGAAACAAAAATGTGAAATATTTTATGTAGTGATTTTGGTCTTTCATCAATATGAAGTAATTAAGTGGCAAAATATATTTTATTATCATATAAAATTTATATAAATATAATATATTTCTATATCTTATATATTTTAAATATTTTAAATATATAAAATATGTATTTTTTGTTAATCTTCTTTAATAAATACATATCCCTCAATACACAACACTTAATATTATGTAATTAATGCAACTTTGTAATTAAAATTGTATATACATTTATGGTAAAATATGAGCAAATTTCATATCAATATTGTTGAGCAAATAAATAAAATAAGTAAATCTTAGAAGTTTATTTTTAAACTTTCTCTTAATCGAGAAAAATACGTTCAATATAATGTTTATATTTTATTAATAGCCAATGAACATTAAAAAAAAAAACAAAAATTTAAAAAATTATTGATAATTTTAACTTTAGATTACATAAAATACAATTCATTAATTAATTAAATTTTTACTTACTTACTGAGGCTTCGATGTGCTTTATTTTCGACGAAAGTGAAAAGAAATATGAAAATTAACTAAAAGACATTTTTAAGATAAATTCTTCAAGAATAAAAATTGTTCTGAAAAATATGAAAAATGGTGGTATCTGAGCTTGTAGCCAGCATAACGTAGTTACTTGCAAATGAAAAAGAATAATAGTTCCATAGATATTGCGAAAATATAAAAAAAAGTTGCTTAAATATAAAAAGTTTTTACGAGAAAATAGAAGCCTTACCAAAGATAAGAGAATTTCTAATAATTATTTCTGTCTTATCATGTCACTTTGTAATTTTTTTAATATGCCGTTAAACCAATGAAATGCACTGGTATTCATGTGTACTACAGAAATAATTCATTTATAAATTCTTTTTTCAATATTCCTTGAATATTTCCTTTGCACTATATTATTGAATACTTGAACTATAATAATATAATTTACTTATTAAATGCAGTTTTTATTATATTACGTCTTTTTTGTTTTTATGATAAATGTGCTTATGCCAAACGATATTTCTTAAATGAATTATTTACTCATCATTTTATATCTATGTATTAAAATTATTACTTTTAAGTGATTATTCAGTTGATTTATCGCACCTTTTCACGCATTAGTAATAATATTCCATATTTTAAATAACTTCTTAGTAGCATTATTACTTTAATTGGCAATACTCATTATGAAAAATATGTATGAAAAATATAGTTGTACATTCACGGAAACACATACCTAATCCAATACTTATATTCTCTATGAATTATAATCGAAAATAAGCACAACGCGTAAGACTTAAAATTTTATTTTATTTACATGTCAATTAAGCACGTAAATAATACAGAAACCTTCGGTTAATAGTCTGGAATTAGAATTATAAATATTTTATAAGTATTTTAAGATGTTGTAAAAACATACTTAAAATAATACAGTGTACGTAAGTAAAACATATACTAAAAAAGTCGGTAAGAGGATGTAGGAGAAAAGAGTCAAACGGCCCTGCAAAAAGGAAAGCCTGCAGAAAAATCGATTCAAGCTCGTTTGTACGCGCGAAGCCGCCTTCACTACGCTTTAAAAGCTTGTAAAAAACTGCTAACGGTTTTCCGTTTTATTTTGTTTCAGCCTGTGACCATTTTCGCGCACCTTTTCTCTGAATCACCACTTCTTTATTTTTTTTTCTCATACTTTCGTCTTACTTTTTTATTCTCACCAGCTTTTGCCTCGGTGGCTGCCTCTTTTTATCCGGTCTTTGTATTCTTCTACCATTTCTCATTAACCTTCTCCCCACTCACGTGAGATTCAAGCAATTAAATTCCCGAGATATAAAATTTACCAATGTTGCGGCTTTCTTTTTCTTCGATGATCTGCTTATTTGTATCTTTTTTTCACCTTATTTCTTATACTACATATACAATAATATAATTTCAGAACAAATGTAATATATGTAGATTCAGGTAATAATGTATTATGGCTGTACTACATTCAAATGTAATATTAAATTGGAAATTATGTATATGTTCATATTTTATATATAACTTTTCATACAGCGAATTTAATGCAGATTTACATGTTTCGCTTATTAAACTAATAATGTACGTAGAACGACATTTTACACTTAAATTATTAAAACCAAATTTACATGCAACATTTTTATGAATTAAATTTTAATGAATACATTTCATATGTCAGTAATAGGTATATTTTATATTTGTCCACTTCAACTTTCCATTCGCGTTGGCAGACATTTATATTATAATAGAAATTATTTTAATTGGTTATGGTTTCGTTTGATTATTCCAAAGTCTTAATAATAATAATAATAATAATAATAATAATAATCTACGCAACCGTTGCTTTGTCATGAGAATCAGTCATCGTTTTCACATTACGGACTTGTCGATCAATTATATCAGTAGGCGCAAAATTATCGGCTGCTCAGTCATGTATACGACGAGCGTCTCTAGATTCAAACGCGAATCTACTCAATAGGGAGTAGAGAGAGAAAGTGAGTGTCGAAGAGAGAGACAGACACAGAGAGAGAGAGAGAGAGAGAGAAAGAGAGAAATCTGAGAGGGAGATGGAGAGGGAGAGATAGATGAAAACGACGAGGAAGGCGATTTACAACTCCACACTATCCTTAAAAGCCTCTAGAATTGTATATCCGAGACGAAGCTAATTGAGAGAAAGCTACGTACGTCTATCTATGTACATTTGGTGTATCAGTATGGTTTACTATTGTCTTATTTAATACGAATCTTATTTACAATTACACTATATTTAACGTAATAACTTTGAAAAAATATAAATAGATTTTTAAAATATACTAATGATATTTTGATTTTGAAATAGCGAAATATTTTTGTATTTATTAATTAAATTTAAAGATAAATTTAAATTTTATTTATATAATTTTGGAATATCACTTGTAGCATTAAACGACCGTTCTCCAAGGTGAATACAAAAAGCATCAATCAAAATAAAAATTTTCATTTTATTATCATTATCCGTATTAATGTTATAATTGACAATTATTTTATGCATTTTCGTTATTGTCACTTCTATTTTATTATATTTTATCTTGAAAATTCAAAACAAATTATATATACACACACACATATATATATATATATAAACACTTAGTTGAAAAGATTAATAACACTAAGTATAAAATACAATAATACTACATTCATATTTCTTCCTTATAATATCGTTGTAAACTAAAATTTGTTCAACTAATTGTGTTTATCTCATTTTAAGTTGATATTTTCTTTTATATTTTAACAAGTATAATTTATTTCATGGTAATTCTATAAAGTTAACTGTAAATATTTACTTTAGAGCGCTACATTCTCAATTACTATACTTTGAAA